TTCGTCGTATTTACTCCCATTTCGGCCTTCGAAACACACTACTTATTTTTGACTACTCACCCATGTCAGCGACGAGAATATTACCAGGTTGAGACTACTCTTAATGTTGGCGCACCATGGGACTGTAAAATGTGTTGCGAGTAACCTTGATAACCAAAATCGCAGCTGCGCTGAAACCCATGAAATTGGACTCCAAATCCCTTTTTCATGCAACTGATAGTCTTCCAGAGTATCGCTGTCTCCTTCTCACTCTACTCGCTATGGTCATCAGACCCACAGCCTTAACCGCTCAGATCTTTGGCCGCCCTTACCCAATTAACTTGAGTACCCCCACTGCTATAGGTATCATGGTACTACTCTCATTACTTTGTCTGGAATCGTTCATTGTACACATCTCGTGTTTTTGTGGCCGCGCGCTCATTATTACTACTATTTCTTACCCGGCACACTCAGATTTGATGACTCTTGTCCTTGAACTCTGCCCATCGACTTAGTTGGGATTTTGAATAGCAGTATTCGCCAAGCGGTACCCCCGCGACTCGGTGGCTGAGAAGTGGATGTTTCGGTGAACGTCCCAAAGGGTTTCGGGTCGCCGTTCCGCTATCTACACAATTCGAAGCCGGCCGTGGAGTTCGTTGTTTTCGGACTTTCAACCCCTCACCAGTCACATTTATTCAACTAACGTCTCCATTCTTAAGCCACTGCTTATGGTGTCCGCTTGCATGACTTCAGTGTTCATTATACACCGTCGCTTCACCAAATTGAGGGAAACCGCTGGGTGGCCAATCCTTGACGTGGCATAAAAGCTCATCATCTTCATCATACACGTTAGCTGGAGGTGGGGAACACCTCAGCTACTGTGCCGCAATACACAGAAAAAAGGAGACAAAAATGCAACTGGTGCAAGCCGGCTGAGCTACCGGTAACGGATGGGCATCGTTCCGGTAAGCTGCTGTGCATCAAAAAAAGTACTGTGCGAAACTATATAAAGCTAAATAATGAGATCGTGGTTGGAGAGGGAGGCTAAGTGGGATGGGGTGGCACAAAGAAACTCACAGCACAAACGCCACTGAGGTCGGCTCCTTGCCATATCAGCAAGTGTGTCCAACCAAACTTGTTAATCGTCTTTCGGCCCCCAACCAGGGAGCCGTGACGCTCCAACCGAGGCCAGCTCAGAAGTGAGGACCTTCATTCCTCTCGACCAAGTCATCGCTTGGCCACCCCTCCTCTTCTTCCATCCACACCTCCGGCGCGCAAACAACGCACGTCGCGGGAGTCAGTGGGCTGACATGCGTAACACGTGGCCGAGCCATCGGAGCCTGGTGCGTGAAATGACGGTGCTCAGCGGTTCAATTCCTTTTCCTGTTCCGTAAACAAGGCGTCGAACACGCTCGTTGCTCACGCGGTGTTCCCACCAGATGTGAGCTAAATTACAAAGGCACCGATAGTCGAACGTAACTAGCCTCTTCAGGTCCGCTGCTCTAAGCGGCCAGGTTTCACAACCGTACAGTAGGGTCGAACGTACCGCTGCATTGTACACTCTACCCTTCAGGGCGAGAGTAATGCCGCGCCGCCGCCATAGGTGGCGAAGGTTAGCACAAAGCACTTCGGGCTTTTGCCATATGGTTCGTGATCTCGTCTTCGATCCCAAGGGCGCTGATACAACTTCCCAGGTAGTTGAATTTTTGAACGACTTCTAGCTGATCCCCACCAACGGTCAGCGTAGGAGGCGGTCCAGACCAATCTTGGAGGAACGCTTTGCACTTCGAGGGTGCGAAGCAAAGCCCGAAGTGACGGACAGCTAGTGCTAATCTGTCCATTGCCGCTTGACACGTGAGCTGTCACAGATTAGGGTAATATCATGAGCATTCTCTAAGTCAAGAAGTCGTTCTCCTGGGAGCATATCCACACCTTCAAACTCTGGTTCTGTGAAAGCGATTTCCATGACTTCGTCAACCGCGAAGTTGAAGAGGAAAGGTGACAGTGGGCATCCTTGTCTCACGCCACTGGAGATATTAAAGGGCGACGACAACTTGCCGTAAGCCTTCACTCTGCCCGAGCTACGCGCATATAATGCTCGGATAATATTCACATATTTCTCAGGTACACCTCTCCTGAGTAGACAGTCCCAAAATGCATATCTATCCACCGAATCAAATGCACCTTTGATATCGAGGAACACGACAGTGGTGGGCCGCCAATATGTGTGACGGTGCTCCAACAACTGACACAAGGTGAAGATGTGGTCAATGCAGCCACGATCTCGACGAAATCCAGCTTGCTCTTCGCGAATCTAGCTTTCACGAGTGCCATTCAGTCTGTGAAGAATGACAGAGGCATGCAATTTGTAGGCGATGGGGATCAGACTGATTCCTCTATGGCTGCCACATTCCGATCGTGAGCCTCCCTTGAAAATTGGGACTATGACGATGCGGCTCCAGTCGGTTGGGACAGTTTCCTGCTCCCACAGTTTGACTAGTAACTCGTTTAAATCATCCACAAGAGCAGGTCCCCCGAATTTGAAGAGGGATGAAGGAAGATCATCGGGTCCCGCGGCTTTGTTCAACTTCAACAGTCCGATCTCATGTTCGACTTCTGAGCGAGAGGGTGGATCCAAACGGACAACCCAGGGAGCGGGGCGGTCATTGGCCGGCGAGAAATCTAACAATTCCGACCGATTAAATTGCCTTCCAAAGTGCTCAGCCCAACGCTCTAAGCGTTTTGATAAGTTGTGGATAGGCTGTCCACTGGCATAAAAGCTTGAAGAAATTGACTGCGAGACTTGGTCAGACTGGCGCGTGCTATCTTGTGGATGGTCCACTCCAATTGTCGAGGACTCTATCAAACTTGACGCAGTCAGTAACGTTCCTGCATTCATTTTTCTGCATCTGGCTGTCAAATTTGCATCACGATTAACTTGCTACCTTCCTTCTGTCCTGGTTCCATTATATTTGTTTTTTATTTGTTATTATTGTTCTGACGACGTGAGTCGGGACAACTAGATCCACAGCACTTCGGTGCCAGGGTCATAGTTGTCTAGCTGAACTCACTGCAACGTATAAATTCATCACTGCGAACTCGTTTATTGGGCATACTGTCTCATAACGCTATGCAATGAGATCGCGAGTAAACCGTCTCACCAAGCGCATCTGGTCCACATCATCACTCCCCACGTTATCTGGGAATGGGAACTACCTCGGCTACTGTGCTGCAGTACAACTATATGTGATATACAAAAAGTGGATACCAAATATTACCGTCAGTTGCGTTCCTGCACGTGTTTTCTTGCATATGGCTGTTAATTTCATTCCAGCTTGATTAATTATACACTTTTCCTTCTTCTGTTTACGTTGAACTCCATTTTCTTTTCATTGTTGTTTGTTGTTATTCTGTCGACATGAGTCGTACCAACTGAATTCCCCACGGGTCGGTGCCCGAATCATAGTTATTCAACCGGACTGTACTGAGCCACTTGTACGACACATGGTTATCCCCATAGCTCTTCGAAACCACTTGTGCACAATTTGCCTAAACCATTGTTGTGACGATTCGTCTCAATAGCAAGCGCCATTTCATGCCAATTGTGCAGACGAGCCTCGATACACAGCCGATATACCGGGCTAGAAAGCAGCGGATCGATGCGACACCGCAATGGGACCGTTTTTTGCCGGACATCAACGCAGGCAAAAGCTAGGTGTTAAATAGGCACCAGTTTATCCGTTATCGGATTCTCGTTGTGACGACAGAGACACTGTTTCTTGACTTTAATCGTGTGCGTATTTTTGGGCTCATCGAATCAATGGTCACCCTCGTAGTCACACTGTGTGCACACTGGGTGCGTGCTACCCAACTTTCTTCGTCTTGTATTCTAGATACTTATTTTTGACAATAAACGAAGTCACATTATGCACACAGTAAACGTGTTGTTCAAGCGCGATTTAATCGCCGATCTAGAACCAGATCGTGTTAGCATTTCTCCCTTCCCAACGTCACTCCATCACCATTAGGCGGTGACTGCGTCAATTTACATTGTGAACTTGGCCTTCAGCCAATCCGAAAAGAATTTCAACGCAGTGCTCTTACCAATTTCAATTGCAGGGACTTCCTAAATACTTGAGGTACGTTGGGATCGCTGTCGACGGAAGCTGTCTAGACTCACTTATAGGGGCGGTTATTATCCCACGCTCCCCATGTGGGAAAAAAGCAGTTTTTATATAGGTTTAATTGCTTCCTCATCATCGCATGCTTAAGCTGTCAATTCCGCGTCGCGGTTACTTGGTCGCCTTATTCTGATTAGGATTGCGGTTGCGTTTAAATTATACTGTCTCTGAGGTTGTACACTGCGTGGGCAATAATATGTTAGTCAATGTGAAGCTTAACGTGGTTCAGTTTTCTCACCAAAATGTTTGTTAGATTTCGATTCTACCTACTCTATCATGTGCTTGTCTTCCCCTACCATTTTTGGACGGTAGTTTTTAAGCAGGAGTCTTTGATCTGGGATATTCCGACGGGATTGCTCTCATTCTGCTGATTCTGCTTTCCCCAAGTTTCCCTCTCCTCAGTTCATTTTTTATACACACCTAATAAGAGTCTACTTCTGGTTGATGTTTTCTGGCTTGACGCTTTTGTTTTTGGAATTATGTTCCGCATTGTCAGAACAACCTTTCACTATTTCGTCCTCTGCTGGACGTGTTGATGAATCGTTTTGCTTGAAAATGTCACGATGTAAAATCAAGTCAAAATTTTGCTCAGGACCATTGATTGTAATGTCCCGTTACTGCGTAAGCCAATAAAGGAACACACGCGGTCACGCCGATCGGGCTTGTTTGGCTCAGTACCAAGCGTGCCCTTCAATCAGTTGAGTCTTACTACAACTTGACATTACTTATTTCCTGCTATAACTGTCATGCTTTAGGCCTTGCCGGGATCTGCTACCGCACCGGAGTTCTATTGATAGCGGTGCTGATGATTTGGTTTCTGTCCCCATTCTACACTATCAGTTTCGTAACAACTCTTTTGTGGTCAATGCAAACGATACACTTGCATCTGAACCTTCCGGCTCATCCAATGTCCTACGAACCGTGGAAATTCTTGTTGATGTCATGTTCTTTGTGGACATTTTCATAAACTTTCGTACCACCTACGTGAACAAGAACGATGAGGTGGTCTCACATCCTCGGCGAATCGCAACCCACTACCTCAAAGGCTGGTTCTTCATTGATTTGGTCGCAGCGATACCGTTTGATCTAATTTTTTTCCAATCCTCGGGAGGGGACCAAGTAAGTTTTTCTCCTTGCCCCATTTCAATACTTCTTCGCTTTGTCCATTTCTCTTTTATCTGTTCCACGAGATTATCTTACTAATGCGCTGTTACCTTGGTCTGGGATTTCGCTTCCACAATAGGAGGTGTATTACCAACAGCACCAGTAAAAAAATGCACCAAGGTTGTACACGTCTAGAAGTATTACAGTTATTTTACTGACAGTCAACGGTGCCTTGTGGGAAATATGCACCTCACAAGCTGCACACAAAACATAGAAATTTCACTCACAATTCTATTCTCATACGCTAGTAACCGTCTCAAATTACTGCCTTCACTTAACCAACCTCATGTTGTGTTCATTTGCAAACCCATCCTTATTTCCATAGCGGATTGCGTGCTCATTCGTATTCCGTGTGGATTATTAGGAGAACAGCTCGCTGTCATTTCTACCGTTACTCAGGCATGAGCAGGTGCCATCAGCTGGTACTAAACGAATTTGAACTTAATCACGTGATGATCGTTACCCCCAATCAACTACCTGACCCAAAAGTCATTGCTGTTTTCGTACATTTTCGCGACACTACTGGTGTGCTCGTTTATGGGGGCCTAACTTCCTACGTGTTTCACATTTCCCATCCACTAGATACAGTAACAGATTGAACGTGACTCCCACGAGTATCAGTTCGCTTCACATGAGAGATTAGCTCTCTCTCTCTCCTGAGAAGATCTTTTCCATCACGCAGTACATCATTGCCTAATTCCTTCCATCTATAATCAATCCAGCAACGGAGTGTGGGCATCTATAGTTTGGTTGACACACGCCACCGGTTCCCGGCTGTTTGAGGCTTTTGTACTCTTGACCCGTACATCTTAGAATTCCATCGTGGTTTGCGTGGTGTTCAACTTGTTTGAATAACATGTTTGCCTTCTTCCAGCAACTCTGTGCTGCCCCCATAGTCTCAGCTATGTGGTTCCATTGCTGTTTGCTTATTTCATTTGGTGGGCCTAATTAAGTCGAAGCGCATACAACTCAGGCCAATTTCACTGCAGTAAGCTCGGTCGTGGGTAGATCGAACCAGTCAGGTTCACCAACATCGTGCGCAATGTCATGAATGTGTAGAGCACTTAGAGGATGGGCATCTTATTTTATGCGGGACGGATCCATGCAAAGCACTGGAGTCTGGTGTGTGTCGCACACCTGATCACTGAATCAAAACGCTTGCCAATATTCACTAGAAGTCAGTTTTCGGTCTACAAATGAGCCCCTCGTCTGGCCCAAGGAATATGTACTCCTTGCGAGTCATGGAGGAGACGGGATGGCCACCTAGTCCTCTCCGGTATACGGACACCCGCGTCGCTGTATTTAGATGTGGTGGAGTGTCTTCATCTTTGTACAATCTAGTCATGTGTGCTCTCCTGAATTCAGCGCTTTACTCCTTTCGCTTTGTTTTTTCCCTCATACACGTTGAGATTATGGTGTTCCCCTGCCCTCTTTGTCCCATCCACTCCCTCGGTATCTCGAACCTTGCCTCGTTCATCTGCTCATCCACATGATTTATGTGTCCGTTGTTGGACAGCCAAGGTACGGTTAGTTGCTCTTAGTCTTATCACAATCTCACGCTTTAACCCTCTGCTTGTCTCCACTGCTTTGTTTTAGCACTGGTGCAAATCGCCCATGCATTTTTCCCTTGTCCATCGCTCCTTTGCCACCATTGGGTGACACTCCTATCCCTTCAGTTTACACGTTATCTTGGCCTAGTGCGTCTAGCGTTCCTCTTTCACAATTTATAAATTTCTTGTCCTCGGTGTTTTATACTTGATTCACTATAACTGCCCTGGTGGCGGCTGTCGCTGAAGCCTTGCACGTTAACAATTACAGCACTGTACTTACTTTGGTACACTCAATCATCATTTTGTATTGCTGCGTCCCAATTTCTTTATCTCTTTCTACTGTCTGGCATCACGCAAGCTGAGGAAATAAATTTGCTCGTTTTCACCGGAACCACTTGCCATACTATCACTATTGGTCCTTTCTCATGACGCAATCGAAATTCGCTCTACTGCCTCATCGACACTTCGGTGCCAAACATTTCCCTATTCTTTCACTCGATTGTGTGTTCGACGCTCACTGTCACTTACTTAGTGAATTTCTTATATCTGTTATATCTATTTCGCTGCGAAAAACATCTCACTCACTAGACATTAGTTTTTACTCTCCCGGTCACCTTTTCACTGCGATTTTTTAACGTGACCTTGAACTAATTTATCATCATCGCTTTAGTGTGCTCATTGACCTTTCCAGCATTCGAGATTGGGCTACTTATCCTCATTCTTGAGCGACACATCGTTTTACACTTTTGACCCCTCCAGTACCTCGTCACCCTGCTGTGTTCTCGGTGTGTCAAACACGCCTCTTTCCCTGTCCACTGACATTACTTCATCATCGCTGTACGTCTGGAACACAGAGCCCCCAGCTAAAAGCCGACTGTCTTTGTCCGACGATTTTTTGAGGGATGCTCGTCACGCAGCATGTTGATGGATCAGTTTTCCGAGGTACATTTTCGGGGTACTGGATAGGTACCACAAATGTATTATCCATAAAATGTTGTATCTTTACACCATACACAAGGGCTTATTAGAGGGGCTTTTCGCTGATTATTTCTCATTGTCACGTCTCATACCTTCGCCTTATGTTTCTCGGTTCTCGCGTGCCATTTCTTGGGCTGAGGTTAGTAAGTTAGGGTCGGGGATGGGATCCCTTGCTTAGGAGGAAATGCTGGTCTTCTGAAATTCTCACTTTGTTCACATTGCTCTGTGAACTTTTGGCTGGCTTAGCTTGTCACGACTGTTACACCGTGCATCGACTCCTATTCCAGCTACATATCTTTAACAAATGGAACACTCAGTGATTCATCAAGAACATCAGTCTGAGGCAAACAATTGTTTTCAATGATTCATCTACAGGCCGGTACAATCATATAAGGTTAAATTACAAAGGGATGGATAGTGATTGGTTCGGGGGTTTGTTCTGAACTGACTCGGTCAATGGTTAGACAGCGAATAGTTCGCCGCTGTCTCATGCACACAGATCGATTGAGGGTTACGTAATCGCAATGCCTGACCCGATGTCGGGGTGACGGCTAGGCTGATGGTTGTTCGGCCAGGGCAGGTATAGAGATTGAACAAACTTTTTCTGCGAGCACAGCGGGGGTTGGAATATGCGGATCGCAATGGCCTCTGCAGTGGCGAGCATCCTTAACCGCGTACCTTTCGATTTGCTCATTGGAACCTGATAAATCACAGTAAAAGCATTCGGGAGGTTAACCTGGTGACCAGATTCGAACAGATGAGACAAGATACCGCTTGTAAGTACTCCGGTGCCCCGTTCAACAACCATTTAGGGCTATGTTCCTTAATGCGACGTGACAGTTGACGAGCCGTCCGACCAATGTATGTTGCCCCACAAGTGCACTCAAATCGGTAGATAACGTAAGAAGAGGTCAGCTTCGGCAGTCTGTCCTTGTTGCACACAGGAATTAGCTGGTTCGTGGCGAAGATGCATCGTAACTCCGCAGCCGGAAAGGTGTTCCTTATCGATTGCGTCAGTTTCCTTGTTAAAAGCTCACTAACTGTATCACCTTTAAAATCAAGGCGGATGAAGAGGGCCTTTTGCGCGACTACGTCCTTAACGACCGGTGTTATTTTGGGCTGCATGTTGCGCTGAATGAATCTTTCTGGATAACCATTTTCACGCAAAGTGTTCTGGATGGATTTCATCTCATCCTCCAGAGCGTCCTCTGAGCATATCTTTCTCGCCCTTGAGGTGAGACAATGTACTAAGTTACGCTTGTATTTAAGCGGTACAAAACTACTGAAATTTGTATACTGACCGGTCCACGTCTTCTTTCTGTTGGTCTTCCTTAATATGGAACCGTCAGTTCGTCTACTAAGGTGTACATCCAGAAATGAGAGTTGACCATCTTGTTCAAGTTCGTAGGTGAACTTAATCGCCGGGTGCGCACCATTAAACTCTGCCAATATATCCTCCAGAGAGATATCTTTATGGGTTATGCAGAAAATGTCATCCATATAACGATAGTAATGGTCGAAACAATCTATAAGTGGCCCCAGTGATTCAGTTTCTAGTTTGGCAAGAAAAATATCTGCCAGCACTGGTCCGAGTGGGGACCCCATTGCGACCCCATCATTCTGCCGATAATATATGCCGTCGAAAAGAAACTGAATGTTGTAGGTGCATCTCAGAAGTAATTCTTTCAGGCTTGGTAAGGGTATAGCTAAATGAATGCTGTTATCGTGCACATAGTTGCATAGATATTCTATTGTCTCTAGTAGCGGGACATTCGTGAATAAAGAAGCTACATCAAGTGAGAACATCTTCTTCTCCTTCAGGTTCCCATCTCTAATGTGCTCTACGAATGTAAAACTATCCCGAACACTACGTTGGGCAATTCGTTTTCTTATTGACTCCAGTAATTCTGCCAACCACTGGGCTGTTGGATGACATGCGGAGTTTGTCATGGACAATATTGGGCGTAGAGTTACACCTGCTATGTGAACCTTTGGCAGTCCATACATTCGTAGGATAGATGTTCCAACTGGCCTCAGACTATATATAAAACCGCGGGTGCATAGCTCTTGCAGGCCATTCGTCAGATTTTGTTCTGTTCTGGCTATTTGATCGTTCTCACCTGCTTTTACATAAAACTTAGTTTCGTCTCAGAGAATCTGGTTTAGTTTCGAGATGTAATCACTTCTATCCATTAGGACTATACCACTTCCCTTATCTGGCTTGCAGATGACTATATCTTTGTTGTTTTTTAACTCTCTCACGGAGTTCAAATGTTTACGAGTAATCAGCCCGCGTTGATTCACCTGGTAGTTTCGATATTGGTAACAGCAATTGACCAACGAGGACTTGAAACATTCTAGAGCATCAGTTGATAGCGTGACTAAATCTTTCGTTTGACCTGACAGGTTTTCAGATTGTGTCTCGGT